CCCGATGTTACACTCATCAAGAGTTTTCATTTGAGTACCCACATGCATTTTTGATATATTTTTCATATATACATATATATAATATATATAAATATATGAAAAATTGATGTGGGTACTCAAATGAAAGGTCTTGATGAGTGTAATGTCGGGGTGAATTTATACCGTTAAAAATATCAATAGTTCACAAAATACAAGGTAGTTACTTAATTATGTTAAATTGCACTGTACTTTCTTAACTATTGAAATTTTTAAAGATCTAAGCTCATCCCGATGTTACACTCATCAAGAGCTTTCATTTGAGTACCCACATGCATTTTGATATATTTTTCATATATACATATATATATAATATATATAAATATATGAAAAATTGATGTGGGTACTTAAATTAAAGATCTTGATGAGTGTAACATCGGGATGAGCTTCTATCTTTAAAAATGTCAATAGTTCACAAGATACAAGGTCATTTATTAATTATGTATCTAGAGATAGAGCATTTTTGAATGCAGCCTAAATACTTATCATCATAAATTGACTATTGGTGAAAATGATATGAAAGCTTGAAAAGGCACAACTTCAGGTCAAGACTTTTTCAACGATACCAAATTTAACCATAAAAACCCATTTTATCATATAAAAACACTGTCTACAAAATTTTGCTCGTTCTCTTAATAATATAGATTAAATGTTACAACAAAGTTAGCTTATTAACATTCGAAATTAATAGTTTACCCTATTAATACATTTTATGTGACCAAGAAGGTACCTTTCGTTGATGTAAATATATATGCATGTGTTGTTGTCATAAAATACAATAATTAAATGATTAATTGAATAATAAAAATAATAAACCCAAAAGATAATTATATACAGAGAATTTATAATAAAAGAGTGTTAACATAAAATTAAATAAATAAACATTAATCATATTACTTCCATCATAAAATGATGAAGAATAATATACAACTTATAATAATTGTAATACAAAAAATAAAATACAAATAAAAATAATAAATAACGAATATGATTGTTATGTCAAACTTTATTGGCTTATAATTAACATATTGTCTATTTTACGTAGCAAAACAATTATATTATGATTAAAATTTTATGCATAAAATAATAAGTACAAATAATATAAAATGTGGTATCTTTTTACTGTTTGTACACTTATTACAAAGTTAATGAGTAATGTGACAGTATATTTTAATAAAAAATCATTATAAGTTTCAACAAAAAACTATATTAATGAATGCAACCGGCAGTGACTTGATAAAATCATAATTTCAGTATTATTAATTATTTTATATGACTTAAGGCATTGATTAATAAAAATTATAACGATTAAAAAGCTATACAAAGGCTCTAACATAATTTATAAATTCGTTGAACGCAATTATTTTGTATATAATATATTATAGCACCACGGTAAAAATAATAATTATTTTTATAATCTTATGGCAGTTAAAAAAGCAGATAAATAATAAATCTGGCATTCATTAAGGATATCATTCACTTAATCAAATGCAACGATTTAAAAATAAATTTTTATTTATTTATACTCCGAGCTTGTCAGATTTTGAATGTAAGTGCCTCGAACGTAATTTTTTAAGATTTTCCAAGTATGACCGACCATGCGATCGTTTTTCTTTAATAGTATTTCTGTAATCGGCCCTGAAAATAATGTTTCATATTAGCAATTATTTATAACACGTCAAACATATTTTTAAGCTCATAGTATCTGGTACAATATTAGTAAATGTCGGGTGTGATGCATGCCTACACAGAATTTGTCTACATTTCGAAAACTCACAAAATGTATATCTATACGAGCCAAGCTAATACGTTTTTTTTTTTACGCATCAGAAGAATCTCTACATAAGATTCATTCTATACCGCGGTATCACTATACACATAAAAATAATAAACAGAAAAATTAAAATGAAGTTGACTGACATTTCAAAATTTTTATAAATTTTTTATTGAAAAAATTTCAATTAAACAATTAAAAAAAAATTGTCACATGTAGAAAACTTGAAAAACTATAAGTGCAATTTTTTATAAATATCTTTTTAGTTGAAATTTAATTAATAAAAAAAATCAAAGACTTTTACACGCCTTCTAACTTCAGTGTCATACAAAAAATCTATGAATACGAATATTCATCTGATTTAAAATCTCTACACAGCGCTAATTTCAACTCGGAAGCCTTTGACATTCAGGGCTAGTTTTTCAATCCGAGATAAAATTTTATCCTATGCCAATATATGTCTATATATTTCATGTTTATAGATATACTGGAAATAATAATTTTATTCTAGATAAAATTTTATCTCGGATTGAAAAACTGGCCCTCAGTTTAAGAAACAAAAAAGTAATCGATTATTTTGGTTTTGAATCTTGTTGTGAAATTAAAATATGAAAAGCAAAAAATAATAAATCATCATCATTATTACATTTTACTGAATAAAATTAATTACTTCAACGTTATCGAAATAAATAATTTAATTTATTTAAACTAAGGAAAATGATTGTATTAATTTTTAAAATCTCTGCAACGCATTTTGTAATTTTTAAACGAATAACTACTTTTTTATTTTTATTCAATAAAAAAAATAAATAATTCACCCTGCGGAGTTTTTTTTTAATAATGAACCGATATTAATATT